TAATATATATAATAAATTGCATATATATATATATTTATATTTATATGCATACACATTTCACACACACACACACACACACACACACACACACACACACACACACACACACACATATATATATATGGGTAAGTTTTATATTTTTAATTTCATGCATGCACGTTGGTTGTATTTGATTTTGTTGAGTACAGTACAGTAGGATCAGTTGGGTACCATCTATGAGAAAACAAGCATAATGATGCAATTCACTGCACCAGAAATTTACATATGGCATGCTGTACTACTTAGCATTTGTGCTGCAAGCTTACCCTATAAACATTTCAGAGTGTTTGGGTGTCTATCTGAGGACAGTGCAGAGGATTTGGAAAAAGTTGGTTAATTCTAATGTTGATTATAAAAATACACCAGTTTGGAAAACTCACTCTTATTGTTCTGATAAGAAAAGTACTCCTGAATTTATTGGTGAGGGCCTTGGCCTCAACACAGAGGTCTACATCAAGTGCCTTGAGGAGGTAGTGCTGCACTGGGTCAAGAGAGTGGCTGCTGGAACACCCTATATCTAGCAACAGGACTCTGCACCATGTCACACAAGCAAGAGAATACAGTTATGACTGATAGAAAATTTCTGCAACCACATCTCCCCTTATATCTGGCCAACTAACTCAAATTTAACACATGTAACCACCCAGACTGCAATCCTTTGATCATTATGTGTGGGGTGCAGTTAACACTAAAGATGAACGGAAGGTAAAGATTGTGGTAGCATTCACCATCTTAAACAAAGAGACTGTCCAGAAAACTTGCAGGAAATTCCGAAGTCATATTGAGGCTGTGGTTGAAACAAATGGTGATTTTATTGAATAAATTTACTATTTAGTAAATTTAGTATTTCAAGATATTTGTAATGTGTAATTTTGATAAATATATAGTTAAAATGAGATGTCACTGTTATTTTAATTTTTTTATATTTTAGGCAACAATTTATCCATCTCACCTATATCTATACATATATATATATATATATATATATATATATATATATATATATAATTATAATCACTGATTATATATATATATATATATATATATATATATATATATATATATATATATATATATTGATATACAGTCACTGATATAGATATATTGATATATTCATATTTATTTCTGCTTTGATAATAAAATTTCAAATAAATCTATAAATATATTTTTTATTGGAAATTTACTTATGCAAGCATTTTGAACAGCTTATCAACTTTTCTGCACTCTTCAACAAAAGTGATGCCAATGTCGGGTATTTTAATATTTTTTTTTGTCAGTCAAATAACAACATTTTCCTGATCGTGTCTTTGGCTTTTCAGCATTTTTGCTTTTTAGCTTAATACTATATGACACCTAAATTTCTGCTGATTTTAAATTATCCAATGCCGTAAAAAAAAAGCCTCCAAAGATTGCAGCTACCTTGTCAAGAGGAAAGCAAAGAATTAATTTTGTCAGGTTCTGCAAACACCTTGCTTGTCTCACACATCACTTAAACAGAACTCAGGGAAACGGTAGGAAATATGTCATTTTTTTTTCAAATGATATATGTAGTTTTAATTTTTGAAGGAAGACTTAGATCTGAGAAGAAGGATATTGTCTATCTTAAATGAGGCATAATGGTTATCAACACAAAAATGGAACTAGCAATCTAAGTTCAAATACTAACCAAGACTTTATATTTACTTCGTACTAATGTCTTCAACAAATGTATAAATCAGTTTCTTTCAACACATTATACTACTGCTAGATTCCTTAACAAAATATGTCTCATTGCTGGCATGCCATTATGGCTGATGGAAAAGTGTGTAGATAGGTGAATATCTCTTCTCTATCTACTTCCAAGGTAGTAATTTTTTACAGTGATGTTCACCCTGTAACAAGGCCCAAGATAGATGGTTACAGGGTAATGAAGAAAGTTTATGGAGATATGTGGGAAGATATCAATTAAGCCTAGACTTGAACAGGTTAAGATTGCAGTGTTTCTCCCATTAGAGAGATTAATAATGAAATTTTTCAGTTTGGTCAAACATATATATATATATATATATATATATATATATATATATTCATCTACTATATATATATATCCACATATATATATATATATATATATATAAGTCTACTATTCATCCATATATATATATATATATATATATATATATATATATATATATTCATCCATATATATATATATATATATATATATATATATATATATATATATATATATATATACTTTTGTTGGTAAAAATATTAATTTAATGTTTTGATATCAAAAAGGCAAAAACGTACTTACAGCAACAATGAAACAAAGAGAATAAAAATATAAAAATGACATCACAAAGATTCCACACTTAAGTTAGGCTTGAACCTTGAAGATTGTAGTGTTTCTCTCATTAGATTGATTAATAATGAGATTTTTCAGTTTGGTCAAATATATATATATATATATATATATATATATATAAATATATAATATAAATATAATATAATATATATATATATAAATAAATATATATATATAATTATTTATATATTATATACCTAAATCAGTTTGTCTGACGATGCTAAAGCGTGAAACCCAGGGTCACAAAACTCACATCTATCCAACCAAATAAATATATATATATATATATATATATATATATATATATATATATTCATCCATATATATATATATATATATATACTTTTTGTTGGTAAAAATATTAATTTAATGTTCTGATATCAAAAAAGCAAAGACATGCTTATAGCAACAATGAAACAAATAAAATAAAAATTAACATCACAAAGATTCTGCCTGAAGTTAGGCTTGAACCTGCACTTCAGGAAGAGTTCTCCAATCATATCTGGTTTTTATCTTCTTCATTCATTAAGACTGTAGAGTATTACTTTTAACGATATAACTTTAGTTGTGCTCTAAATGCAAGGTCTTTCCCAATATTGCTGTAATGATAAGCTTTTCAGTACCCATGTCGAAATATCCCTTCATTTATTGATAAACAAATCAAATCAACTCACACTTATAGATCAATCATCAGTTGGGTAAACAAGAAATATAATTATAAAAAATTAGCAAGAAAAAGTAGGATGTCGTTTCTGTGAGGTATTTAGCATGTAATTAATGGCACTTTGTTAATTAATTTGTCGACTGTCTATTGTAGAAATCAATTTCTGTTCATACAGCGGAGTTTAACAAAAAGCCTGTTTTTTTCCTTCTTATTATTCTTATGTTTTTGTCACAAATGTACCACAAAAGTTTTACTGGAAAAAAAAGAAATTCTTCATAGGCCTCTTATTTGACAGACAGAAGAAATACCATTCTCAGACAGTTTATTCAAGTTCATCACTCATTGTTCTTACAAATTGTGCTTAAAAAATCTAAAATGTCATTGGACTAAAATTCCCAGTCCTGCAAAAAGATGCCCAGTGCCAAAGCAAGCTAATGCATCAAGGAAAATTTTGAAGTGTGTCAAAAGGGGAAATTGGCAGCTGATCTGAAAAATGACCTACAATCTGTTGTTAACTGGGGCAAGGAATGGCTTGTTAATTTTAACACATTCAAAACTAAACTGCTAAATTTTAATCATCTGAGATAATGCTTTTTGCCTTCCATCAGGACAGTGATTCATTGCATTTTTACAGGCTAACATTTTCTGCTCACATGAAGTAGAAAGATTGTATTGTGTCAATTGCAAGGTCCGATGCTAGGAAAGTTGATTCACTGTGTCACACTGGACAGCTTTTTTCACCAGAGTTTATCTTACACCTTTATAAGTCTATTATTCATCCATGTATTGAATATTGTTGCCACATCTGATCTGGCACATCTGCTGTGTATTTAAATATTTTTAATAAAATCCAAACAAAAATCTGCAATGTTATTGATCCTGACCTGGCATGTTCTGATGAAATGGTACCTAGACTTTATGAATTTAAGTGCAGTATGGATTATCAGCAATGTCTCATCATTTAGGGTTAAAAAGGCTAGATGTACAAGTGCAAGTTCTATGCTAACAGTTTCTTCTCTTGCGCTTCTTGCTTGTGGAAATCTCTTCTTGCTTTCCAGACAACTTTGATCTTCAGAAATTTAAATGCAATGTCAGTTGTTATCTTTTGTCTTCTTAATTTCTGTTCTTGTATTTCTCTCTCCTTAATAATGTATTCCTTTTTTTCATATTAAATCACTCTCAGTAGCTCATTGCATCTTAGCGGCTTTAATGCTTTGCTTGGGGTGAAACGATTAAAAAAAAAAATAGAAAAGTTCACATAAATGCTAGTCTTGTAAACTGTGTTATCTGAACTTATCAAACATTATATTCTTTATGTGCTGTCTCCCTTCAGGAATTGGCAATCATGGCTCTCCCCAACATTCTTTTCTTAGTAGCTCTAAGTAATTATTTTTTTTCTTACTATGCTCCCCATTTAACTATGCATTTAAACAAGACCATCATGTTAGTTACTTACTGCTTTGCACTGCACCTTTTGCCTTCATTATATCTTGTAAGTGTCAAATTCTCCAAGCCCTCTACCCTCATTATGCTAATTGTTATGGTCCAGGTTAGGACCAAGGAAGAACAACACGAACATAAGAGTAGAAATAATGAGGGTATATTACACGAAATAATAATACAAGAGGTGGAAGGTGTTAGTATGACTGTCAGTCTGGTTTGGTGTGAACTACTATCGGCTCGACTTGATTCGTCCCACTCTCTTGAGAGGCGTAGTATACATAATGTTAGGAAGAGTTCCTTCTGTAGTTATAGGTAAGGACCCATGACACTAATGATAGTGGTAATTATGAGATTTCTATATAGGACACATTCAGTTTTCATTTAACAAGCATTTAGCATTACTGTCAGTTGAAATTTATAAAATCATTTTCTTAAAACAATTTTTCAGGAAAATAGAGTTTTCATATCCACTAACTGTTATTGCTCTTTCTTGTATTAATAGGCTTATGGACATATCATGTTGAAACACCAGTTCCCATATGATCACTGAAGTTAAACAATGTCAAGCCTGGTCAGTACCTAGATGGGTGACCACTTGTGAATATTAGATATGTGGTGGGGGGTATAATGCATAATGGCTCGGAATGAGAAATTGGAGAACCAAGTTTCAATTCCGGTCAGATTTGTCACTTTCCCTTACATGCAAATAACCTTAGGAAAGGTAAATCCATTTCTTCTCTCCCAGATATGGGTTAATAAGTAGAACTTGTATAAGTAAATCATTATTATCTCCAAAAACATTGTTGTAGTCTAAAATATTTTCTGGCTTTAAATAAACTGAAAAGGTTGATAATCCATAAAAAATAGTCAGTCGATCTAGTATTAATAGGAGTTCCCTTCCTAACATTTTGTTTAATTATGTTCCCTTTTAATTACAAGTAATTATTTTTAATTACTATCCATTTTAATTGTTGTTGTAGTTGTGGCCATTATTATTTGATAAAGCTGTGTCCCAGAAATTTCAGTTGTTTCTTTTTGATACTAAATACAAGTGTCCTTTTTGCTTACATTTTCCTTAAAACTTCCTCATTGTTCACATGCTCCGTCCATGGCATTCTCAGCATTTTTCTGTAGAACTTCCTTTTTTTTCCCAAAATATCTTTATTTGTGAGAAAAAATAGTCCAGCAGCCATATGACAGGATTTGCATTACAAAGAGTATATTACTCAACTAATACTCATGAGTTAATGTCTTCAGGTGACTGTTAAGGCTGTGTCTATCTCCTGTGTAAGAGTCCTTGTTGTAATGAAGTTGTATTTATCATGGTAGGTACTTTACTTGCAAACAAGCAAAAAAAAGAATGCTACTACACTTTCCATACAAGTTTTTATATTTGTAAAATATAAAAATATATTTATTATTTTGATTTCTATGTACATTTATACATATTTATATATTTATGTGCCATATATTTTTAGGAGGTGGGTGATCATGGCTCTCCCAAACTTCCTGTCTTGTGTTCCTCTAAGAAACTCCTGACCCATTACCATCCCTTTTTGTGCCTGCTTTTCTATCCATTCATACAAACTGGTTAAGCAGGTTATTTCATCTTTTCCCTTGTTTCTCTTGCCTGCAAGTGTCAGATTTGCCAAGCCCTATTTCCTCATTATGCATCTCAGAAATATCAGCTGTCTCTTTCTAATTTTAAGTACAACTTTCCTTGCTGTTTCTATTTTTCTTAAGACTTTCTCATTACTCTTCTTTTATGTATGGTGTCCCTTTAGGATGTGGGCAATCATGGCTCTCCACAACTTTCTATCTTTTGTTACTCTTAGAATCTTTTGACTATTTACCATCCCTCTTTATCAACTTTATCTAGGCATTGAAAATGAAAGAATTTCTGACTGTAGAAGGGATTAAGAAAAATCTGACAAGACAGCTGATGATGATCCTGAAAGAGTTCTTTGAAGACAAGATTTGCTAAGACCTGTTAGATATTACATGTGCAAGCTGGAGAGTTGACAGGCTGAAGTGCTGTCAGGAAATGTATAAAGGTAATAAATGGGTTCCATCTGATTTCAGTGAAAATCAAAGAGTTCAACATTTTGAACAGCATTTGAAAACTTCAAATGATCCTTTTCTTGTTCAAATACTGAGTTGTGATGAGAAATGGATCCTTTATGACAATCGTAAATGTTTGGTTCAATGCCTTGATCATGATGAAGGGTCCAAACACTTTTCAAAACTGAAATTGTATAAACAGAAGATTAATGTGATTGTCTGATGGTCTGCAATTGACAATATCCATTACATATTTCTGGAATTTAACCAGTGATTCACTGCTGAAATTTGCAGACGGCAACTGAATGAAATACACATTCAGTTAAACAAAATGCAACTGGTACTTTTTAATTTACTAAGTCCAATTCTGCTTCCTGACAATATGACAGTGCAGGATGATATTGCAGAAACTCATTGACTTGGAAAACAAGACTTTGCCACATCCACCATATTCCCCTCATCTCTCGCCCAATGACTATCGCTTTTTCAAGCATCTTGACAGTTTTTTAAACCTAAAAACATTCTGTTGCAAAGAAGCTGTAGAAACTTCAAAGATTTCTTGGTGTCCAAACCTTTACAGTTTTATCATAAAGACATAAATAACCTTTTAACTCAATTGTAGAAATTTATAGATATTCAAAGTTCCTATTTTAAATGTTTAAATACATTAATTCAGAAGTAAAAGTTGATTCTAAAATCGAATATTATTTTCCAAACAGCCTAATAAATTTATTTCTGAATCTCTGAGATAAAGCATAGATATTACTTACTTTTGAACCTTTAGAGAATTAATTTAGAAAGGAAACTAGTCAGTGTGAAAAGCTTAGATTAGCAATAATATTATTTGATAAGAGATTTTGTCAAATTTGCTAAGACCTGTTAGATATTACATGTACAAGCTGGAGAGTTGACAGGCTAAAGTACTGTCATGAAATGTATAAAGGTAAGTACATAGTCTGAAAAAATAATCAACTAGACAAGTTTCTGTTTCTTTGACCATTTATTATGCCTGGAATAAGTCCACTGTAGCAGGACACCTAAAGAAAGTCAAATTCATTATACAGTAATAATGATCTGCTAGACTAAATTTCAAACCATAACCTCACACATTCAAATAATTTAGAATTTGAATAAATATTTCTTAAATAACTGTTTTTGAATAATTGTTTTCAAACAATTATTATTGAACAATTTTCTTGATACGGAAGTGAGAAGATATGAACTTTTCAAAACAAAGTGGAAGAGATGTGTGAAGCTAAGAAGGGAAGTACATTGAAGGAAGACTACTATGTCTTTGCTTTGGTAATCTATATTAAAATTCAACAATGTCTGACTTGTAAATTGAATGATCCATGGTTTCAATCTTGAAAGCACCAGAAATCAGAACCATTAAAGTCTTTGGTTTAATCTCCATGATGGCAAGCAGACCATCTTCATCAATGTTGAAAGGTTGTCCGTAGTATGGCTGATTGTCTAGAATAATTCACCCAGATAAAATCTATCAAAACACTTTTTGACCATCTGAAAAGCTGGAGCACATTTGAGATAAACCTTCTGAATGTATTTTGTTGCAGTTTCTACACTTATTCTTTTCCAAAATTCATTGAGTATAATATGGATGGAATTGTTCATAGATAAAACATCAAAATTCAACAATGTCTGATTTGCAATTGAATGATCCATGGTTTCAATCTAGAACACACCAGAAATCAGCACCAAAATGAACACCAGTGTCAAGTTGCATTCATTTTATATTAACAATAAAAATTGGGTACAAAATTTTGCAATGATTTGATACAAATAGAAAATAGTATTCTCATTTTCTATCATTTTTTATCTACACATGTATACACACACACCACACACATGCACACAATGGAAGAGATGAGCCAGCAGCTGCTGACTAAGCCTTTGTTGACAAATTTACAAACATATCAAGCTAACCATCATAAAGTAAGTTTGTTCACACATCTCACACCACCCTAAGAACACTTAATTACTTTATAAAACAAACTCCACTGCAAGGAAAATTGATCATTTTATTGTTATTGTATATTTCTGAAAAGAATGTATAAATGTTATTACAACTGATGTTCTGCTTCTACGTTTTCTCTAGGAAATAACCTTTTATATATTTCATTTACAAATATATGCTGTTGTTATTAATTGTTTGTAATTCCAACATTCAGAAAGCAACACAAACCTGGGTAGATGGATCCCAACAATATTTACAATATTTAGACAAGGTTCTTTGTTTTTATAACATTTTTAGAAATTTTTTTTTTAGTTAGTTTATTCTTTGACTGTTAAAATAACATTTATGCTGTAGTCTAGGAGAAAGAAAGAACTTCTGCAGAGCTCTTTTTTATGGGTTAACTATATAAAAAGAACTTCTGCAGAGCTCTTTTTTATGGGTTAACTATATAAAAAATGAAATGAATTCCAATGATAAATTAACTCAGAAAAAAGAAATAATAAAATACTCTGGCATTTTGATATCCTGAGTGACCACAGTCTCCAAAGAAAAGACAAGAAGTGATATTCATGAAGAAAGAAAAGAAAGCCAGCCAGATTGTAGACTTAGTGGTGCCAGTGAAGACAAAACAAAAAAATAAAATAGAAAAACACTTGGACTTAACATAAGAATAGAAATACCAGGACCTAGCCTGAGAAATAAAAATAAAAGGACCTTGCCTAAAAAGAAGAAATACTAGGACCTTGAGACCCAGAACTACCAGGACTTTGACTGAGAAACAAAAACATCAATACATTGCCCGAAAACAAATATATCAGGACTTTGCTGTAGCAATAAAAAAAAACAAACCTGGCCTAAGAAGTAAACAAACCAGGACATCGTCATAGAATAAAAATACTAAGACCTTGCCTGTGATAACAAAAATAATCGGATCATGCAAAACAAAGATGTAAAAGAAAATACATTTATAATCAACAAAGTTGTGCTGCTATTCCATAGCCAAAACTTTGTAAAATACTTGAGCTGGTAGAAGTGCGCATTATGTGAACATTGTTTGAAAATAATTTTTTGAAAGCAATTATTTGAAAACATTTATTCGAATTGTAAATTGTTTGAATGAAAATTAATTGAAAGGACAATTGTACTAAATGATAATTAGTCAAACTGTAAAATTCTTTATTGCAACAAAAATTTAAAAATTAAAAGAGAAAATACACAAATGATAATTATTCGAAATACAAATATCATTAATAAAACAATTTATTTAAGAGAAAATCCTTATAACCTTAAATGTTATGATACTGTGCACAAATAGTCAACTACAGAAGAGTACTTGTTAAAGAATGCCACTAATTTTTTAAGTTTTCTATTTATGTCAATGTATTTCTTGGTGCTCTTGATATTTTGGCAACCTGCTGCTACTTTTGCAATATGGATTTCTTGCAAGTCCAGTTCTCTTTTAAGAGCATCTGAGAATTTGCATATTGTAGGTTGATGGGATAACACTTGCTGCTAAAAAACCCTATGCCATCCTTTAAGGGCATTATTAGTTCTAGGTAAATCAGCATTGA